TTTGGGTCTAGGCTACCCCGCAAGAAAGAAAGATGGAGAGAAGAGATGGGGGGCCAAAAGCTGCTAGGTTTGCGGCCACCCCAACCCAGTCAAACGCCATTCCTCTGTGTCGCTTCCATGGAACGCTTATGCCGGCAGGGGCAGTGGTGGTGATGGCCGCAGCGGGTGTGAGGAGATCACTTCACAGACCTCGAATAGGAACGAGCTTGCGAGCGAACGAGCAAGCGATGTGATGATATGATACACGTAACCAGGACACCCCGGGTAGTGGAAACGCCAGCTGCTAACGGGGCGAACGGAGCTGGATAAGCAAAGTTGCACGCTTCTTCTATGCCGAGAATATGAGATAAAGGCGCGAGACCGGGTATGTGAGTTTGGGCAACCTAGCCGAACGGTCCCATACGGTCAGCAAGAATTAAATTAAAAAAAAAAAAAAAAGAAGTTTTATTAATGATTCGGGGGTGATACAGTGAAAGACTTGCAAAGATAATCGCTGTTGAAAATACGCATTGTTTTCATTCAGCTGTCGTCACAGTCGTTTACTAGAATTAAGCTAGCCTCTGCCGGTTCGGTTCACATGCCGTTTAGTTTGGATTAAACAGAGTCTGCTACAACGTTGATGTAAGAAGGAGGCATGAAGATAATTAATCAATTATTCTACGAGAACTGTTCACTGCTACAAGATATCTATGCGATTTCTAGCCTTTATACTTTTTTGTGCGCATATGCTCTGCAGGGTTTAAAATGACACCTTTCTCCACACGTTCTATGAATGCCAGTCTCACACGACCGTCTGGCCCAGAACAACTTTAGAGCAATGCTAACAAAAAACAACTCAATCTGTTTATATAAATCCTTGTTTAATACAAACTTTATAGGTTTGATGCTTTACCCAAATCCAACATTAATAGGGCGAGCTGCCTTATTTTTTTCATGGCAGTTAGTCGTGTCATCTAGTTTTTGGCCGCTTCTTGTACGCATTTGACCTTACCTTTGCGATGGCAGCGCGGGTATATTCTTACAAAGTTTATCCACCGTCTATAAATTCTCGTAGACTGAAAATACCCAGGCTATCCGCGAAAAGGATTTACATCTCAAAAAAAAAAGAGAACATTGTTTGGTATGGCAAGTGGGCCGAGGGCATCATTGGCCTATTTTTCGAAAGTATGAACTGTAGCCTTCCAAAAAATAATCCTAAGGCTTCTTTGTACGCCAAAATTATTGAAAAAGATTTGCAAGATACGTGGTTTACGCAATTACGTAACTAATAACATAAGCGCTTTATTAAAGGATCACTTTGATGAGCTGCTGATTTCCAGGCGGGGCGATGTCGAATGACCCCAGTCTGTGTGACACAACTCCGCTCAGCCTCTCTTAATGAGGGTGCCTAAAAAGCATGGTATATCTGCAACAATGAACGGACCACGGATAAATATTATTGAAGCCTCCGTTTCAAAGATTAAATAATATTTGTACTACGGGTTAAAAATTGGATGAAGCGAATAACTGCCACAAGGGAAACCAAGAAGGCTCACCCTATCGATGTTTTACTTGACTAAAATTTTTCCATAAAGAAATTTATATAAGTACATTCCATGTCTTTGGCGTCAAAGTTGCTTCCGACCATATGGCCATCCCGTTATAGTAAAAGCCAAGCAAGGTGAACGTTGAATGTGGAAGTCCTTGAGTAACTCTGTTATAGGAAAGTTCCTTGTAAAACCAGTCAGGCTACTATGGATTGATCTGCTGTGTTTGAAAACGATATCTTTCTTATGTTCGAGCCACAACTCCAGATCATCATTGTATAACCAACTTACTAATCGGGATAAATTGGATCCGCTGTTTGCTACTAGAGAAGAATCGTTGTCTCTAGTGCATCACAACCTAAATGACGCAAATGTTTCGGTTTTTTTACGTTCGGTATGTCTACGTTCGTACGTAGACGGCTGACTCTCATAGCACGAGACGATGTACGTTGATGCCCGCAGACCATAGAGTGTTGCTAAGATCAGCAGACAAATACGGCACCTATTTACAACTGGTTTACAATTTGTCTCAACATTTTTCAGCCATTCGTGTCGTACGTAATGTAACTATCTGCTAACATTCATGACCAGGAACAAAAAACGCGAAGACTTACATTCGTGGAACAATGCATCATAAAACAAAGAAAAAACAAACCCTTAGATTCATATTGTCTTCGTTATGATCAACAAGTCCTGTTACTTCATAAGTTGTTTTGATTATCATACGTATCAGGAATGTTAAGTGTAACACACAAGGCGAGAGTGAGTTTCCCGCCCCTCTAGTTAGAGGACATACTCGTAGTGAAGTAAATGACCTCTCCAGTTCATATTTCTGTACATCGCTCCCAATGGCTACTCCGTCTATTCCCTTTTCAGTCACCTTAAAAGACCTTATTCGCTTATTGTTTACAATTGATGCCCACGCTTTCGGCAAATCTCGACCGATGTTTGAATCAGGGAATTTGTAATAATCCCAGTTTATAAACGGTATCATGTTAGCCCTGCGGAAAGACAGTTATTGAGGCGTGTGTAGACCACGTTGCGATGGAAAATGTTTTCGTAAATGTCATTTGTCGGTACCTTTCGTAAGCAGCCTTTTTCATTCGACCAACGCACAGTTGCAAGAGAAAAATCTATGCCTAATTATTTCCTTAGTAAAATTATTTTTCCACTGAATTTTTTTCAAAGATTATAGAAATTGTATTCAGCGTTCGCTCTTATTTTTCGCGTGGTTTTAATTGAGTAGATCATCAATTAATTTTTTTTGTATATCGTTGAAATGGAGCTTATAACGGCTCAATATAATGCAAATTTAGGGTTTACAGTTTTAAAAGCGAAAAACAGGAAGATGCTTTGCGAAAACTATGTGTATACTTTTTGTTCATGCTAAATTAGGCTAGATTTAAAATCATTACTTCAAAGCAAAACAAGTATTATGAAGTATGACTATAATTTTAAAATTACTATGGAACTAATGACGAAAATGATCGTTGTTGATCGTGTTCTAGCTAGACTGATAGGAGCCAGACCTTACTTGTACAGCGAAATGTGCTGTTATAAAGGCCACTTAAGTCGACACACTCTAAATTTTAAATAAGGTACGAATATTTTCGTCTTGCAAATTAGGCAATGCTTAATACAAATGGCCGCGTGCCTTCCTCTTGCCTGATTCGTTCGTCTATCTGAGGTTGTCCGATGCCTTTCCGATTGTTACACCGATATGTTGCGCTAAAGCGAAGTTCCATTTCTATTAGAGAGATATAACCTTCTACAAAAACGTTTTAGAAAGACCACTTACTAGTACGAAGTGAATCGGCTTGTCTCTAATCTATGGCGTTACCCAGTGTTTTTGGTCTACACTGCAATGGTAACTTGTGCATCATGAACAATATGGCCTACAATGTGATATTTAAAATTTTTTTTTTAACGTTAAATCAAACACACTTCGTTTCAGGGATCCTAGCTAACCCGTCAGAAATTGCCACCCTTTACGTATTTATGGTATAACGAATAGACAATAATTCGGTAAGTTAAAATATTTTGCTTCTTCTTACTCAAGTAAATGTTACAGTAATTGTGGTATTTTATCGCTTCAACATGTTTTATTGTATGCATAGTACTTCAGATAATCTCTCTTCACTTGGCCAATTTCCTTCGTGAATACCTTTGTAGACACCATTTCCGTTCGTGTTTACGATGCTTTTTATTGCTACCAGTGGCCTGAATGAATTACGAATTAACAAGCTGATTACCGTTTCTTAGATGACGTTCGCTTGCACTGGACGATGGCCTTTTGCCGTGCTACAGGTATGTGTGCTGTGGGCACGACCCGGTCCTCACCCCGATCAGCTCTGCAATGTTGTTATAAAACCACAGTAACAGCTCTTTCCCTCAAGCTGGTTTCCATTCGAGACGAGAAGAGAAAAGGCTTGCCTCCATCGGGGGTCCAGTGTAGCGTTACATAGGGTTACAGCATCCCAGGCACGGGAGAACAGGGAACAAGTACAGGATAATAAGAGGTGGTACATGCCCGCGGTGCTCCGCACGAGATAAATGCATTTTGAAGACCCAAGGGGCCAAACTGCTTCGTTTTACGCGTACACTTGCAAAGGCTTTAGATGGCCGCGGGCCCGAGGTGGATAATTCGTTCAGGAATTCGGGGGCTCTTAATGCTGTACTGAAGATGGACCCGTCCGTACATCCCCGCAAACATAGTCAGTTTCTTCGGTCCTCACGACAAGTACACTGCTATTTCTAGCGACGTCGGCTAGCAGTGACGCACGTTCACCGAAAGGGTGTAAAATATATAACATGCTCTCAAGAGGCAAAGAAGCACATGGATTGCTGAGTTCCACAGAGTAGGTGTTACGTACAGGTACACTCAAACTACAGTGCAGCTATCTCCCCCATCCGCCCGCCCGCCCGCGGGATCTGGTTGCAGGAGAAAGTGTGTACTAATGCTCGCTTTGTGAGACGCGGAAAAGAACTTCCGAAACAAGTTATCGAAGAATGTTGCGAACTCACTTGGCAGAACTTACTCGAAGATTTGATATATGGTATGTCATATGTACCTGCAACTAAGCAATAAAACTTCAGTCCACAAGCTAGTCTAAGCTACTTAAGTTACATTAGGAACTGCTGCATAGTTGAATACGTCTTGGAACTTCTTCAACTATTTATGTTTATTCAAAACAAAAAATGCAACGTATTACACGGCCCATTAATTCGAGCTACGAAGTTTCAATTAAATATTTAGTCTATATGAAGTAACACATATGCTAAACACACGAAGTCGGAGAACGTAAATACGACACAGAAACGTCCATATAAAACCTTTGAGACAGACACGTGTCAGTGTTTGAAATTGCTGTAGTGAGGTGCTGACATGCTAGGCAGCATGGGGATTAGTGGGGGCAGTTCCAACTTGCCTCAAAGCACCCGCTATTTTTCTGCTATACAATTTATTTGTAGTGAAGTGCGCGTTTGAACCAACATCGATAGCAACGAATTAATTATAATGAGAATAGTCTCTTGCTCGTTGACCGAGCGAACGAGGCCTCTTTCCTTTTCTCTGGCTTTTGCGTTCGATTTCTGCTTTATTCTTTTGTGTCCTGTAGTGAAAATAACAAGGGAGAGATTAGTGTGCCAATAGTGTTCCCCCGGTAGCACCGAGATACACCCTCCAGTTCCGCCGGCTGGCCAAGAGAAAGCTTTACTCACCGTAAGCACACGCACCCGCGTGAACTCATGCTGGATGATAGTGTTTGAAGTCCTCTTTTGACAATCCGTTTTAAACCAGCCAACAAGCAAATGCTCAGGCCATCGAAGGGATTAAACAATGACAGGCACAATTTTTAATTATGATGTGCGTACATTCGAGTTACTATCGTTATATGAGTTTCACTACGGCCCAAAGGCTAGCTTGTGTGGGTTCCTTTAACAGGTCATAACCTGCGGTCCACAGTCCTAATGGAAAATTATCCGGGCAAATGAAACATTCAAATGTACTGAAAATTTTTCAGCGAGGATAATGTTGGTTTACATAATAATGGTGGTTGACATCGACTTAGGCCCTATTGCAAGAAGCAAAAAGGCCTAAATATTAGCTTTTGTTTGAGCAGTTGTTTATCCTTAATATTATGAATCTAGTGAAGTTGTCAACGTTGGCCTTTGTGAGGGTACTAACCATAGGTATAGTTACTTGTAATTACCTGTGAAGTGGACAGCTGAACTGGCAGTATCAATGACGGCAGATTGCTATAGGTTCTGTGTCTAATTAAAGGACAACACGTACTGATGCATAATTCGAAAAACAGATACTGCGTTTCATTTGCTAGAAATGTATTCTTAATATGGGTATCTACTTCGAAAATAATGCAATCCCCCTTACTGCAATCATCTGGTTTGCAATCGACAACGAAGTGGTGCTTGGTAAGTGGTATTGCGAAAACGTTTACTCGTGTTTGTTTTATCGCTTCATATCAGATAAAATTGCATATCAACAAGATTGAAGTGTATCGTCATCAGAACGCTACAATCACTCAAACTATCGGGGTGTGACTTGGACCTCAACGCTAAGCTATGCGCTTAAGCATCTTCAACCTTACCTAACGGAGATACGCGTGAAAACTTCTTAAAATTACTGCAAAGGTTATCTTGGCTTCATGTACTGAGAGGATCGATAGTGGTTTTCTGACAGCCTATCGCTTCCAGAATGAACTTTTTTGCCCCCTAAAATGTAATGGTTAACAACATCCGCATAGCGGCACTTAACGACACGAATTATTTGACTCTGTTATTGTTCTTCCGAAACAATAGTTTATCAGACATGAAGATTAACCGCCGATTACTCATGCATAATCCTTCAATTATGTCGTGACGAACAGGGGGAGGGGAGCGGAGGGGAGGGGAGGGGCGGGGCGGGGGGAGGAGAGGAGAGGAGGGGTAAGGTAGGGTAGGGTAGGGTAGAGTTTCTCGATAATGTAGGTGACGACGCATGGACTAGTCGGTTGCATGACTTATTGAAACGAAAGTCCCTTGATGATTTCGTTGAATAGTAACATCTGCGACCCTAACAGCACGGGCGGGCACTAGAGGGTAAGGATCGACATCTATGAATTTGTAGTCATTATCTTTTGAAGTACAAAAAAACAATAGCGAAAGCAATAGAGCGGCCTGATATCATTTTTGTAGTCATTAGAAAGAAGAGACAGTTCGTGCCGACAGGGGTATGTGCTGTGTTTTGAGATCTGGTTGTGCGCAATGTCTATGTTTGTTTCAATAGGCTTTGGTTTTTTTAGTGTATTATTGTTAATGAACCCTGTCAGGTCTAACATTGGATAATCGTTGTTTAAAGACAGTATAATTACGTCCATTTTAAGCTTCTAAATAGGTGACGATATGGGGATTGAAGAATGCTACTGAATCATTATCCTTTCGACACTCACCATCGTCAAATAGTTTTGTATGAACAGGGCGAGTCTAATTTAAGCAGTTACTCGAAGCCTATGTCGGTAAGTAATTGTGAATTTCTTACTTAGAGCTAATTATTCTGTCAACCTTATTAGCGCTTATGTTATAACATGGTCACATTACCTAAAACCAGCCCAGAAAATATTGAAGCGACCCATATTTACCGAAACAAGTTACTAACAGATAGATTACAAGAGGAAAGAGCGATCTGGTTTGTCGCGGTGCTATTTTTCTCGTTTCCCGGAAAACATCGTATGGTAATGCATAATAAACATGACTGGCTAAAACAGCGTAGAATGAAGTGGTACTTTTAGGAACTTCTGGCGGGATCTTTCAATTTTGATATCACTGTAATCACTATCCTTATTGTTTGCTTTATAGATATACGCTTCTCGGAAATTGAGTTTTTGAACTTATATATATATATATAATGTAATACACAGCTTACTGGACGGTGTGCTCATATGGGTAGATGTTTACAATTTTGTGAAACAAATAAGATATTTACTTTCATCCTCTTTAATGTATTCGAACCCGATATTGGTGACAAAAAAATTGTCTATAAAATTCAATTATTCAAAAATACTCGTCTGTAGCTACTACAAAATATAAAGTCTGGAATAGAAATAATGACACGGAAAAGTTGAGTTTTCAACTTCATTATATTACCAACTTCTATACGTCGTTTATTCTATGTAAATTACACTTGATGATATGCGTAAAGCTAAAACGAAAATTCAATTTTTAATGCTGCCACTAGTATCGTGCTCGAAGGTGACTAAGCTATATATTGTATATAAACATAGAGATTTTTTCAACTTAAACTACATGTTCAAATTTCGTACGCCATAACAAAACTTCTAAGATAGTTTTTTGACCTTGCGATGATCAACTAAGAATAAACAACTCATTTGGGCCTACAGGTAATAACTGGGCTTCAATGATGCATGTCTTGTAGAGCAAGTAGGAAAAACGCCATGATAGGGGTACTGTTAAGGTCTATTTTATGGGGCTTCTGGCAAAGAACGTTGGGAATTTTGAAATAAAAAGTTAACTGAAGTCCGATAAAATATACAACGAAGAAAAAAGATTGCGCGAACTGGAAATAATAGAAAAATTACTTTTTCCTATGCACTATTTTCAGACCCGACATGTCAACAAACAAAAGCAATACAAACAAGCAAGTAATCAAATATCTCTGATCTATCTTACGAAATAAGTGTTTACGATATTACAACAAGTAGTAAATTGTTATTCTTGCTTTTTTTTTTTTAACTATGAGCAAACAAATATCTCCTATTCTCCAGTATTTTTGTGCAGAGGAAACGCTTACTACTTTTACAAACTTTCAAAGTTGCCGGTTCATGGTGTTGCCATTTATTATGAGCTTCTTCATGCCAAAGAAAAATTTACAATAGGATTTAAGCCGAAACGGAAGTATCATTAGAGCCATGGTGATACTTAGATTTGTTTTTGCGGGTTTATATGAGCAGTTCTAGGCTTAGGATGCACCAGGTGCGTTTACTGATTCGAGATACCAATAACAACGATCCTGAACATACTAATAGTAACCTACAACAACTGTAAGTAGCTCGCGGATCTAAAGTAGGATCTTTTTAGGATTTGACTGATTGGGAACAAACGTTTCGGAGTTGACATCCGATAACTCAATATGATGTTTCATACGGCTGGCCTCATCACAAAATGACGTGCGTTTACGTCTAGGCAAGCCGCGTTATATTTCCGTTTGTCGGGCAAATATTAGCACTGCAATGTCGTAAACAGACACAGAGTTCTGACTTTATGCCACTACGCTCTATATACAGTTTTTTGAGATTTGCCTATCTATCTTGTTCCATATTCCAGCAACTTCCATCTTAGTTTCAGTGTGAAATAACTTCTTACATAGGATAAATCTGCTCCCAACAGTTGCCGGAAATGCACTAATAACTTATGCGTTAACAGGAATATCCAGAGATAGGTTATCTAACTTCGAAGTCTGATATTGCTTCAACGTGCTCACAGCATAAACAATTACACCAGATTTCATATTTATTCTTTAATGTTCAAAGCAAGAAACAGTATTACGTAGTCAGTTTTGGGCTATAGGTTTGGAAATAATTTAAATGACTTTTTTTACTGAAAAATTATTTTATAAATTTGAACATATTTAGGTAGGACAAACTCTAAGATATCGAAAGTATGTAAATACTACTGACAGATGTTTCGACCATTTTCATACTTGAATAATACTTGATAAAATACCAACACTTGTAAGTTAATTGGTGGAAAGTGTAAAATTATCCGACTGATTCGTCACCATTGTAAATGCGTCCTCGTACTTGTAGTAACTTTAACATCATAGCATACTCTGACCCGGCCTAAGACAAATTAATCCCCTGTGGTTTTATTTTCGATGCTGAGAGGTCCCTAAAGGATTAAAGAAATTGATTCATAACTGCTTTGAAACCGGCAAGCAACCTCATAATAGTTGTTATACGATCTCCTGTGTAATAGCGATCTCCTGAGTTCTTAACAAGAACTCTGTGCTTATTTGAAATATATGCTTTTAATGGGTTTGTCGACCATAGCGGGTATTCATATAGGAAAAACACAGTAAACACAGAGAGAATTACAAGAAAATAAAATTTCTAAGAAAAATTCATGCTTCGTACCCTAATCTATACGAATGAGCATTCCAACATTTTCACTGATTTGCATGCTTTCCTCAGAGACCAATTAGAGGTCCAAACGGGACCCGCTGAGTATGAGAGAAATGGTACAGAAACAGACTTTCCGGGTCTATTATCCGGGACACATTATCAATTGAACTCTTCAATTGATAATGTATCCTAGAGATAGATGATAGACCTAGATAAGAGCATTAGTCATAATTATTGACGAATCATAATAGATATATTTTCACGAAATAAACAATCTCCACTTTAGGGGACGTTTTCCCAACAAGACTTGCTTTCTGACGTGTGATTCAACGATAACGGACGGCTAGGTACGTCGTGCTAAACTCTTTCGAATACATGGTTTTGTCTCATGGCCGATACGTCTTTGAACACATAATGAAATTTTATTGACGTTTGAGCTGCATCGCCTTCTGTGACAGTTAATATCATCTTTTGATAGTGCATAAGGTATTAGTACATTCTCGCTGACTGTTGGGAACAAACCTGCGTCCGAAGACCTTTTAGGAAAAATTGCTAGTCAGAAAAGGAGCTGCTGGAATATACAATACGGTAGACAGGAAAAGCCTTAACGGATTATTATGTTTAAACAATTTAAAGCTAGCAAAAGAAAATTATATATATGCGCAAAATCTAAACGACCGTGCAGTGGTAACATGTTAAACATAAAGATATATGACATAGCTTGCCTTCGCAATGAGGTTTAGATGCACGTCATTTTGTGATAAGGCCAGCCGTACGAAAGATCATATTGAGTTGTTGGACGTCAACCCCCAAAATGTTTGTTCCCCATCAGCCAGATTCTAAAAAGATTCTATTTTAAATCCGTGAAGTAATTGTAGGTCAATATTAGTACGTTTAGAATCGTTGTTGTAGTAAACTAAGCCTAGGATTGCTCACATGAGCCCGCAAAAACAAATCGAAGCATCATCATGGCTCTTTTGACGCTTCAGTTTCGATCCAGATCCTATTGTAAATGTTTTTTTTTGTCTAAACCCATAATGAGCGGCGGCAACATAGATCGTCAATTTTGTGAGCCTGCTCATAATTAAATGGCCGACTTCCTTATGATACTGCGAAAAGCCATCAGCAAAAACGTTTGTTCTATTACCCTGTATGTAACCCCAATAGAACACATGAACAGAAACCTTTTGATAATCGAATCGAGCCTTTTAGGGCCAATATGTCCACAACAGGCATACCGTTTGTAATCCAACTGGATTTTTTATTTTTAAGGATTAAATCTAAAACAAAACTGCTTTTCCATAGGCTGATCCTACGCTCTCTATTGTAATATCCCACAGTAACATTTCTGATTACCTTTCCACTGGATCTAATTTTCATTGGATAAAAAAAAAAAGATGAAAAATTTCGGTTGTATCCCCCCAAAAGGTAAATCATTAGAAGACTTGCGCGAAATAGTCGACCATTGAATGCAGATGTGCATGGCAAAGCGTAGGAAATTTTAGCTAGAATGTTGAAATAAGCTCGTAGCATTACTTACAGGTTTTGAGCGTTGAGTTTAACCCGCCTTACCGAGACAACTATCGCACTGAACTAATTTATATTATTATTAGCATTATCGATACCATTTAGTAATTGAACCGAACCCCTTTGCTTTCAGCACCCACTCTGTTCCACCGGGTCACTCTCGACCAGACAAAGGCAGTCAAGGGGAAGCGGGGCTAATCCTTTATAGGTAAGCCTTGATGATATTCAGGCAAAGTTTCTATAAAACTATGCTAATATACAATTTTTGTAAAGTATGCATCAATATAGCTTGTTGTCTTAAGCATAAATCTTCTGTGGTTAGCGCTTGAATCTTAATAGCATAGCCGGCGGTAGAGGTTTAGGTTCTTCTACAAAGGTGAAAGATATTTGCACTTAAGTTCTTTTCACTTAAACTTTTGGCTTTTCCAACAACGTTGACATCTATCACGCGCTCTTAGAGCGTATCCCATGTCATGTTTCAATCTTAAAAGACGATCTAGAACAAAAAGAAAAGTTGCTCCGGAACGATTTGTTGTAAAGAAAAATGAAATTCAAGAGCGAATGTCAAGCCATTGTCCTACAAACGAATATTGTAGGCCAATGGCTTCACTGTTCCAGTTGGGCCACCCAGAAAATGAAAAAAACTTAGGTTGCGCCGCGTACCGGTCCATGTATTCTTACGCCTAAAAATTTTCCAGCGGATTATTATACGGTTGCTCGCAGAGTAAATGAACTAATCGTTTTGAGCATTGTCGAATCTGTATTATTCTTACTGACATTATGACTTCAAGCTGAAAGGGTCGACCTGTGTCGCAATTTCTTTCATCGAGATTTCGATACGGTATTAGAAAGGCACGTATTTTTCGGACAAACGAACCTTTCGGATTTTTGTAAATTATACATTGCTCGAACGTTTACTTGCAGGTATCCAGATGAGCAACAGGCATTAGTACCCTATCAGGAAGCGAACCTCAACATCACAAATCAAGCAGCCACTTTTGACATTTCAAAGCTTGCAGCTACCGATGGAGCATCAAAGTCCGGACAGTCAGGCAAGGCACACAATCAATTTTGTTGCCTTTTTAGGCACATGACTCCTAGAACTGACTTAGGGAAGAATCACTCATTGATTAAATGTAAAACTGCTTTGGGTACGCGTTACCGGCCAACGATTAACGAGTGCGATGGTACGTGTGGTAACGGAGAACTTTGTGCAAATTTGTTTTTGAAAATAATTACACAACGCAAAGATATTTCACATGTGTCCGGCCCCAAAACGGTCAGCTTAATGATCAATGTCCAGGTACACTTAAAATTGACAACTAGCTGAGCGGTTCCGATGAGACCGGTAACATAATAGCCATTGTGGCGTGTTAGTATTTGTCGAACTTTATTACGCCTTGCGGCGGCTTACCACTGTTAGGGGGCAACGTTTATGTCGAGTGGAGCCTCGTCAGTGGTTCCTTAGGTCTGCCAGAACCGGCTTACTAGCAGTTTTATATGTTCATAGTTGCCAGTCAATTAGTAAAGACGTAATTTTACGTAAAGCTCTAGCTGGCAATTCGAACACTGCAATTAAATACGCTCATGTATTTGCTATAGAATGAGCATAGTTAGCATTGCTCTGATCATCAGTAACCGTTCGTCAAACGGTTGAGTAAGTACGAACGATTCAATCGAAGATATTGAGGTTATGAAGCGTATTTATGTATGAAGCGAGCAGCCCTATCAGACGTGCTACCTGTTATACGCATGATAACCTGCCCACTTTAGTTGAAGAAGCGCTGCATCAGTAACCATGTTGGGCAGGCTACATACAATTATCACAAAAATATATACTGCGCTTGTATTTGCCATTCTTTTTTACCTGGTGAAATACACATTTTACACAAATTCTAACAAGAAAATTGACCATCTTCATTATCCCATAAAGAACATTTGTTAGGAGGTTAATGCCAGCCAGCTGGTTTTTTTCCATGGTGCAATATTAACGCCTATGCTTGCTAGGCCAACGAATGCAAAAGTAGTCCAATTTTGAATTTTTATATATGAACGCTGATAGGCAAGGTAATCCCGTCTCCTGCTCCATTTCTTCAGATCGCTCGTGTTGATAACCTCACATATCATTGGACGATGTTACATGTGGTACCCAGGTCTGCCGTGAACAGAACAGAATAAACAAAGGAGAGCTTTTGAGCTTCTTCTTCATTATACAATGTATTGTCATAAATTAATTCGTCAGTGATTGAAAAGGTGATAGTCCGTTGGCTCGAGGTTCAGGCGATATGACAAATGCACCAAAATCGTTTACTGTTGCAAGTCTGCTTTGAAAAACCCTTCTACCTGTTCTTTTCCTGGAGAGAGTAACGTTGCACCATTCATAGAAGTTTTTCTGTTGTTAGAGCGTGTTCACTGTCCATAAGTTCTTGTCGGCCATTTAATTTTTTCTCGAGCGTTTCCAAGTGCGAGTCTGATCTATCAGATGCATGTCATAGGCTTCTGCCGACAGAAATGGCCTATCTTTGGCCCGAGACGCATCTCCTAGAGCGACCTTTTGGTGTCCCTGTTTTATATCGACGTAGGAACACCGCTTCCCATCCCCTGTAACTATTCTTCGTATGTATTAATGGTAGCTGTTTATTACCTAGCACTGGGCTAGCTGTCAATGAGAAACCGTAGATTTCTGGACTCTTTCGTTTAGTTGCGCAAGATACCTCACAAAAATCGAACTTTGGAAGTTTGTGTGGAAATGAACGACTTTGTCAGCCCAGATTTTCATCGGCCATAAATAACCGATTAGGATTTTTGTACAGTTTTCTCGTAGGCAAGAAAATAATGGACGGCAGACAAATATTATTAATACGGACCAATTCTAAAACCGAATCTAGGAGTCCATCTAGGAGTAAAAAAGCGTTTTGTATGATTCTATGGAGGTTTCTGTGCCAAATGGGCCAGGCCAAAGGCTCGAACTGTGAACAATATCAAGGAAACAAATTTCCGCTTAAATATTTCGAGCAGCGTACTTCGCGACCCTAGTGAGGGCCGTATATCAAATACAATAATATACTGAACATGCTACAATGTTAAATAGAAACGTAGGTAATGTTGTGCATATAGCTTTAGCATTGTCGTGAAAACCGATGGTTCTATCTTGCGCATTAGATCGTTGTTGCATACAGACTGCCAGTTTGATTCTTCTCAAGCACTTTCCAGCACATAACACACCAAAAGGAAATGCGTTGTTTTTTTTTTGACGAAGATCTAGTTAGGATTAATATCGGATAACGAGCAACTAACCTCTAGTAACTAGTTGGTCGACTCTGATTACGTATTGTCTGGTATGAGTGACCTTTTGAGAGACAATGTAACGTCATGTTCTTTGTGTTGAGCTTCATAAAGTTTATAGGGTAGCCATGTCCTCAAAGTCCTGAAATCATACATTCAAGACTAGTTGCAATATTCGAGTATTTGCGCATTTTCCTCGGTCACTGTCGTTTGCCATCGAAGGTCCACGTCGAACTTGAATCCACAAACTTAAGGATAAGAACTTCAGCAAATCCTTTAGAGGAATTCTCCCACTTGTAGTTTTGCTACACAAGTTAAACATATGCCGAGATATTTTGGCAGATTCTTTACCTCTGTAAACGTCGAAATATAGTATGTTTAAAATACGCGCTTCCATCAGAAACAGTCACATTTGCAGCTTTAAAATTAAAGTTTCATCAGTGAAGGCGCGACGGACTTAGAGTATACAGCACTAATACACGAAGTAAACAAATGGCGGAGAGGCGAACCGAAAGCTGTCGCTATGCAATAAATGGAGAGGAATTGCAGCGGTACACAATTTCTCTCTGACCTAGTTCAGTCATTCGGAGTATGGTATCAGAATTCTAAATAGTGAATCGTACATGGATTTCTAAGTATTCCCATAATGTTGTAATGCAATATGTACGCACAGACTTTAGGCTCGCTATTTCCGTCTGACCAAAATAATCTGCGGTTGAGGCTCCGAGCTGTCAAATAATGGCCTATGATTTGTTTTAGTCTAGAATACCTGTCTTTGAAAGTCTTTGAGCTAGAACGCGTTTGTTGTCAAAAAGGTAGCCCCTCCTTGAATAGGCTAATAAGGAAAAATTTGGGGCATTGTCCGCTAGCCTGTTTTCAGGTTTTAAGTGGAGATTGCGTGCGACGCAAAAGCAAACCGCTGATTATTTCGGACTACTATGCTTTTTCAGAATACGTTTCTTCCAATAGTTCCAGTTAACTCTTCACCACTAAAATTTAGTAGGGCTTGAATTAGTTCTGAAAACGTGGCAGGCGTATCAGCTGCTTCGATTATACGAAACTTCCGAGTTCTATACGAAACAAACGAGGAACATCGAGGAATAATACAGTTCTTCTGCTGGACTGCATTATTCGTTCTTGCTGAAAAGTTTACCGGAGAGCTTTCTGTGAAAAAGAACATCATATTTACCGTCTCGACTTGCTGCGGCCATTTTTAAACTCAAGAGTGAATGCCACTATCGTAGCTTTTCTTTTTCCTATATATATATATATATATATATCGTTGTTATTTGCTGCTCGCAAGCACCGTCAATGAAGTCGTGATTTCCGATCTAAAATAAAGGGTTTTTATTCGCGATTTGCTATGCACAGTATGCTTGCATGCTGTGCATCGCAAGCATCGATGTAGTAGCTACATTATTATTACATATCTTTGAAAACTAAATGATCGTGCCTTTGCCACAACGGCCTGGTGGTTTAGCGAACAACAGATTCAACACCTGCAACAATAGGCACAGTTGATAGACATGGAAAACACTTCACATTATTATATGTAAATCGATAACATGTTAACTGTATAAGTGAATGTTATTTTTGAAAGCTGTCCGACAGCATTCTGCCCAACCTAAAAAGCGAGTGAGCTTCAAATAAAAAAACATTGCTTGGATACGTAGCGTAGAATTTAGGGTTCTTAGCTGCGCATTCGTTGCAGAGGCATTGAATGAGACCTGTAAGTACGTATAGTATGTAAGTTGGCCTGCGAAAAAAAAACTAACTGCTATTCTACTACTCAAGCTGCTGTGGACTGCGAAAGTTCAATGACATTTTCATACTAAAACGCGAACGTGTTATCTTGCAATCATGGCTCGACGTTTCAGAATTTAATCTTCTTCATCAAGTAAAAAGTTATATCGTTAATAGTGTTGTATACCAGGTTATTAAATTTGCCATAATTTTCAATTGAGAATTAATCCTAACCAGAGTCTACTAAACTCATTATAACATACATAAGTTCATTTGACAGTAATTGCCTCGTAGACCAAATCTAGAACGGAGGAACCAAGAGAAAAAGGTTTTTTACTCTTATATCCCGGTAACTGTTAGTAGCGTTTGGTTAGCTGATGCTTGCTCAAATACCAAAAATGTTTGAAAATTATTATGAAACGTTAAAGTTTTCTGGAAAAGCTGAAACGTTTTCGGCACATCATTCTGACACTGCAGTTATCGCCTTTTGCAACTCTTGTCGCTTTCCCCCTTAAAGGTTATATGATTTTTCGATACATTTGCATCTTGTTTATTATTAAGTGTTTTTGAAATGAAGCTTTTCTATCTATAAATGTACGTAATATATGTATAAAATAAGATCAGCGCAAGTAACCTTGAGGGAAACTCGGCGAACCAGTGGCCTTATCCTACTGAAGCTGTAGTTTATCGTTTAAGGTTCCCCTTTATTCAGGAGCCAAACATGGCAAATATGGCATGTAACCCTTACCCAGAAACAGCAGGATGCGATTGATTTATTTGTGGGGTTCAGCATCAAGCAGGTGTCCGGGCTTCTAAGCCAACTCTCTGAAGCTAAGCGTTGCTCGTAAATTAGTGGAAATAAAGACAGTAGATCACTCTCTATTGTCGGCCATAAATGTGAAGCTTAGTTCTTCAGTTTATTACTGATGATATTGCCTGGAGAAAGGTATGATCTTTAAATGACAATTAATAGCCAACCCACAGTGGTGTCATTTGATTTTTACGTTCTCCTTTCTAATTTTTT